GGGGGGGGGGGGGGGTATGGGAAGGAGGGAGAAGCATTTCTGGGGTTGGCAGGGCCTGTCTCATGGGGTGGCGTTGAGATCTGCAGGGGGGGAGGGGCAGAGTCTGCCTAGCAGGTATGACTTCTGGTCAGAGGTCAGGAAGTGAGAATGGACGTAAGTGGTTTATCCCATTTGATTGAAGAAGGTTGAAATACTACCCCTGGGTCTTTAACCTCTCTCTGAGAGGGAAGAAACAGGTGTAAAAACCAATTCCTACCTTCAGGAGATCTTTGTCTGTTTGGGGTGATGAATCTCTATTTTGCCAGGGAGTGAGACTGCTAGGATTAGGGTGTGACCGAGGAGGAAGGAACTCTAGGCAGGCCGAAGAGCCCAGGCAGAGGCATGTCAGGAGGATGGGGCAGTTTGACAGATGGGTACAGACAGAGCTCTCAAGGACTCCAGCTCACACTAAGCAGACTCAGGTGAGCGCCGTCAGTGTGGGCTGGGGTGGTTGGGGAGGCTTCCTGGAGAAGGCTGAAATAGTTGAGAGGAAAGGAAGAGGCCTTTTAATAGCCGAGGCAAAAGCTTAATGGTGAGAAGGGGCACTTTGGCAGGTGGGAGATGGCCCTAGGTTGATGTGTGACCTTGGAAGGAAAGGGCAGTGAGACACTGAGGCTCTTTCCTGGTTCTCCCCACACCCCCTTGAACAGGCCAGGTGAGCAAAAGTTCCCCAGGGCAACAGAATGGAACAGCCTCCTCGTCTTGGAAGGCCCTCCAGAATCAGGACCTCCATGTCCAGTGGGAGGACTCAGATAGGAAGCGGAAACACCTTCCAGACAGGTGAAATCCTGGACATCTGGGGTTGGGGAAGAGGGCATGGGTGCACGCAGGCCTGAGCAGTCAGAGCAGGCTTCCAGGGCAAGGCAGGCTTGTAGAAGGAACAAGGAACAGCATTATGGGTGGGTTTCACAGCATAGGCAAAGGGAGGGCAACTAGAAAGTGCGTCTGATGAAGAGCTAATAAGCCTGGTGCTGACCCCCTCTCCACAGACAGGTTGGGCCTTCAGCCAAGAATGAAAAAGCAGCCTCCAAGAATCAGCACTGGTTGCACAGGGACCTGCGTGTGCGGTTTGTGGACAAGCTGTACAAAGGCGGCCAGTATTACAATACCAAGGCAGGAACCTCGCAGCCTGGGTCCCCTTCCTCCCCCAGGGGGTGGGCCCCCTTAACTCTCTAACATCTCACATCCCCTGACCTGTCTCCCCAGATGACAATTGAGGATGTCGTGAGCCCAGATACCTGTGTGTGTCGGACAGATGAAGGCCGAGTCCTGGAAGGTGAGTCTGAGTGATGGCAGCTGGGGCCTTATCATCCTGGAGGCTGATGGAGAAGGGTGTCTGAGGCCAAGAGCCTGGCCCTGGCAAGGCTGGGAGGTTGGGCAGGGTTTAGATTCTTTGCAAGGCCCAGCATCCTCTTGCAGAACATTAGATGCTTCCATGGTGGTGATTATCTGAGCCCCACCCTCGCCGTCTGTCAAATTACATGGAAGCTGCTATTTCTCTCTCTTGTGACTGGCACCTTGATGGGGGGAGGCATATTGAGCTCCCATTGCAGGGCAGGACTTACAACATGCCCACCACCACTGTATGTAAATGCTCCCTTAATTACAGGCATCTCTGTGAACTGCTCCTTACGTTTCCTGGTCTGTGGAAACTCCATCTGTCAGCAGGGTGTAGAGTAGCTCCAGGGAATACAGGAAAGGCCTCTCTGACAGGACCCTGGCTGGGCTGGCCCTTGCTTCAGGCCTCACTCCCCTCTTCCTCATCTGCAGGCCTGAGGGAAGACATGCTGGAGACCCTGGTTCCCAAGGTGGAAGGCAACCGTGTGATGGTGGTGCTAGGACCACAGGCTGGAAGGGTGAGTCCCAAACCTGGAAGTGGAGGGTTGGGGGTCATCCATGGGATGTCCCAGGGTCTGGGCTGGCCTTGCTGAGTCTACCCCATCCCTGCTTCAGATGGGACACCTGCTGGGCCAGGACAGAGCACGGAGCCGGGCTTTGGTGCAACTGCAGAGAGAGAACCAGTTGGTGGAGCTTCACTACGATGCTGTGTGCCAGTACATGGGCCCCATTGACACAGACGAAGACTGACCCATGGGACCACTCCCACCCCCAGGCTGTTACCAGTTCTGTACTGTATGAAAAAGTTGCCTTCAAGAAATGGGAAGATAATTACTCCATCCTCTGCTTGCAGCATAGTCCCGGGACAGGGACAGAGAAATGGATGGACGGACCAGAAGAGAGGCTAAAAACAAACCCAATATTTATCAAGATTTAGTGTATAATAAAAACTACTTCAAATAGTTAGTAGAAGGATGACATCATAAGTGGGGTCCTGAACTGACTGAGGTGGGAACCATTTTATTTTCAGCCTCACCTCCCTGTTGTGCTCAGGTGCAGGACAAGTTAAAAGACTTATTAGATTATGAGCTTACTCTTGGAATAAGGAAACTATGAAATCTGACTCCTGCACTGATGCTATGGAATCTGGAATGCCGCCACATCTCTGAACAACTTCCTGAGTGAGAACTCTAGCAGCGGGACCTGCTTTCACTCTTGGTCCAGAGCAGACCCCCAGAGAATATCTTGAGCCGATTTGGGAGTTAACAGGAATGGAGGCTTCTTCCCACAAATGGGATGTGTTAGCTCTAATTTTCAAAGAAGCCAGTTCATTTCTGGGCCCCCATTTTAGTCCCACAACTTTGGCTTAGAGATAAAAAGTTTTGTCTGTCTCTGATAGAATTTCTCTGGTTGTGCCAGGTAACTATATTCTTTTTTTTTTTTTCCCTTTTTGTCTTTTTTCGTGTCCAGCAACAGATCGCAACCCTCAGTGTCGCACCCGTACCGGACCGGGACCGGCAACGGGATCGCAACCCTCGGTGTCGTGCCCGCACCTCGCTCAGCCAGTGAGCAGGAACCGGTCTGTATGTGGGATCCGAACCCTCGGCAGGAGTGCCGCCGCGCTCCCAAGCAGCGCACTGTAGCAGTGCGCCACCGGGCCGGCCCGATATTCTTAAAAAGGTTGTTGTGAGAGAATCTTCAGACGTTTTCCTGTTTAATGACCTGAGATATAAAATCAATGAGGCAAGTCAGAGCTTTAGACACATTTTTTTCTAAATAATCCCTACTGTGGTTTGAATGTGTCCCCCAAAAGTTTGTGTTGGAAACTTGGTCCCCAGTGCAGCAGTGTTGAGAGGTGGGACCTTTGGGGGGTGATTGGGTCATGAAGGCTCTGTCCTCATGAATGGATTAATGGGTTATCAAGGGAGGGGGTTATCATGAGAGTGGGTCTAAGAGGCAGTTTAGCCATCTCTCATGAGCCCCCTCACCATGTGGTGCCCTGTACTACCTTGGGATTCTGCAGAGTCCCCACCAGCGAGAAGGCCCTCACCAGATGCACCCCTTTGACTATGGACTTCCTAGCTTCCAGAACTGTAAGAAATAAATTTATTTTCTTTATAAATTACTGAGTCTCAGGCATTCAGTTACAGCAACAGAAAATGGACTGAGACAATCCCCAGTCACTAAGTCATTGGTACAATAACTGGTATTGAAGATCGAGGCCACTGGTATAAACTCCAGATAGGTCAGAACATGGCACAATGCTGGAGAATTGAAACACTTACCCCTAGAGCAGGATGACAAAAGTAAATTGCTCCTGCCGAGCAGAGGCAAACTATAGCCAAAACAAACAGGTATAGAAAAAAAGAGTTGCCCAGATCAATGTCCATGTGTCCAGTAAAGAATGATTTAGAAAAACCTTCCAAAATAATAACCAGGATATGAAGTACAGTTGCCACAGACCGATTTAATTTATCATCCCTAATTAATTCCAGAATTCATCTGTTTTCAAGATTGGCCAAACAGGATCGTTAAGGCAGACAGTGGAGTGCAAACCTCCACCCCCAGTTTCTGCAGTTCTCCAGTACTTCGTTCATAACTGGGATTGCAAACACCACCCTCAGAATTCCAGGCTGGGTTGTATTTTTATTCTTGGGGGAGGTTCCCAACTTCACACTGGTAGTCAGCTTCCTACAGTGTATGTACTTCACCCAGTTAGGAAGGCCTTTTCCTTCCTCCAAATCATAATAAACCAGTCTTGGAAACACCCTCTAGAAGGACTAAAAGCTCCCCAGGGGATGGCGCTGGTACTCTGTGTCTGCCCTGAAACATGCCATAACCTAGCCATTAAGACATTCCCTCCATCTCCTCCATGAGCCACAATACTAAAATAGATCTTTCATCAGCTTCAGATTTCCTGGAATTAATGTTTTCCCCAAGCTTGCATTTGAAAATGGGGCCTGAAGTTCTTGAATATGGCCCTTTGTCCAGAACACCTAACCCCGGGCAGAGTGCCTGGTCTCCCCTGACAGACCACTGGGACTTTTTGTGCTTTGCCTTAAGAGGAGCGCTCTTGGTCCCTCATTTTGAGGACAGGGTTCCTTAGATTCAGAAAAATGTGGACAATATAAGGAGGCTTTCCCAATATGCCCCTTGTTCATTGTGCACAAAGACTTGTTTCAAAAGACCCTTTGCATCTGTGCAGTTTTCTCTCGGCTTGCTGCCTGGCCTTTGCCTGCTGCCAAGGTTGCTCCGGTGGCAGCAGTTTCTGCAGCAACAGCTTCTGTGAGCCCATGAATTCTCCCCAGGCCACTCACAAGCTGGGACTGTGACCTGTACAATTTGTCCAGACTGGCTTCTTCCACATCACAGGGATTGAACAAGATGTGGGTAAAAAAAATACTTGCCTCTTGCCAAGTCTCCAGAAGTTTCTCTGGCAGGGTGCTGCCTCCATTAAAAACTGCTCAGACACAGAGCCTTGAATTTGTGGCAGCAGACTCAAGAAGCAGCTTCTTAACCTTTCAGAGAGAAGTCAATTATTTGGGTGATTGGGGCTGCTGGGACTGAGCTTGGTGGCAGATGTGTACAGGTAGATTCTCTTTTCTGACATTCCTTTCTCAGCAAGGGGATGCTCCCCTCCACCCCCACGCTGCAGCCTCTTCACCTCCATGTCTGTAGTACCACACACAGGGATAAAGTATCTAACAACTTGTAAAGCTATACAAGGGGGGTGGGTCTTCACCAAGAGCCACTATTGCCCCAATTCATTCAACAAACACCTACTGAGCCCCTTCTGTATGCCAGGTACTGTCCTGCATGCTAGGGATACAGTAGGGAGTAAGTCATTCATTCAACAATTATCAAGTCTCCACTATATGCCAGGCATGATCATAGGTACTAGGGATTTAGCCACGAGCAAACCAAACACAGATCCTTGCCCTTGTGGAGCTGACGTTCCAGTGGGGCTAAGAGACAATGAGCAATAACTATAAGAAGTAAACTATTAGTGCCCTTATAAAAGACCCCAAGAGCTGGCCCGTGGCTCACTCGGAAGAGTGCGGTACTTATAACACCAGGACCATGGGATCAGATCCTATATAGGGATGGGCAGTTCGCTCACTGGCTGAGCATGGTGCTGACAACACCAAGCTAAGGGTTAAGATCCCCTTACTAGTCATCTTTTTTAAGAATAAATAAATAAATAAATGAAAGGGACCCCAGATAGCTCTGTAGCCCTCTTTTGCTCATGTGAGGATACAAGAAGACAGCAGTCTACAACCAAAACAGGATCTTGTTCTCGTTTTCTTTTTCTTTTTTTTTTTTTTTAATTTTTATTTTGTCAATATACAATGTATATGATTATTATGGCCCTTCACCGACACCTCCCGCCCTCCTCCCTCTCTCCCCTCCCCCCCCAAGAATGTCCTTTCCGTTTGCTTGTTGTAACAACTTCAAAAAAAGTATAGTTGTTATATCTTCTTCCCCACCCCCCACCCCCGGTTTTTTGTGTGTGTGTGTGTGTGTGTGTGTGTGTGTGTTTGTGGGTAAATTTATTTGTTTTTTATTTATTTTTTTTTTTTAGC